AAGGTAGCCTTCTCAGAAGTGTTACCTGTTCCACGCGCAGGGCCGGAGAGACAGGCAGAGATCAGGAGTCTCAATGCGTGGATGAGACGATGGTGTAGGGGGGAAGGGTTCAGGTTTGTTAGGCACTGGGATACTTTTTGGAACAAGAGGGAGCTGTACAGGCGAGACGGTCTCCACTTGTCCCGAGAAGGAACCAGGCTGCTGGCACTTAAAATCAAAAAGGTGGCAGAGCAGCTTTTAAACTGAATATTGGGGGAAAGCCGACAGGAGATGAAAAGTCTCTGGTTCGGGTTGGCTCATCTGAGAGAGGTGAGGGGGTACCGGTTGCTTTTCTACAGGGAGGTGGATTGAAATTGTCCACAGAGGCCATGGCTGGTGACATGGACTGCCGGACAACGACTCGAGATAGCAAGAGGAAGGATGCAGGCTTAACTTGTAAGGGAAATTACAGCTGTTTCTATACAAATGCTAGAAGTGTCCGAGGTAAAATCGGGGAGTTGGAGTGCTTGGTGTCGGAGGGAAAAATAGACATTGTGGGTATTTCTGAAACTTGGTGGGATGAGGAAAATCAGTGGGACACAGTGATTCCCGGTTATATATTATATCGGAAGGATAGGGGGGGAAGGGTTGGAGGTGGGGTAGCTCTGTATGTCAGAGAGGGTATAAAGTCTAGAAAGATTGAGAGGCTAAGTGAATTGGATTCGCTTCTGGAAGTTCTATGGGTTGAAATAGGGGGGCCAAAAGGAAACTTAACACTGGGAGTTTGTTATCGCCCACCAGATCAAAAGATAGAGGAGGATTATAAAATGATGAATGCCTTAAAGATAGCAACTAGACAAAAACACTGTGTAATAATAGGTGATTTTAACTACCCACACATTGATTGGGTCAATATGTGTTCTAGTCGGGAAAAAGAGATTGAGTTTCTAGACACTCTAAATGACTGTGCTATGGAGCAGATGGTCACGGAACCTACCAGGGGAGAGGCGATCCTTGATTTGGTCCTAAGTAACACTCAAGACCTGGTGAGAGATGTAAAAGTGATTGCACCGCTTGGAAACAGTGATCATAATGTTGTTGAGTTCATCATTTGTACAAATAGAGAATTGGCCAAAAAGACTCACACAACCATTTTTAACTTTAAAAGGGGTAATTTCTCTGATATGAGGGGACACGTGGGGAGGAAACTGAAAGGAAAAGTAGAAAGGGTCAAAACAATTGGGGAAGCTTGGGATCTATTTAAAACTACGATCCTAGAAGCTCAAAAAATATATATTCCGCAGGTTAGGAAAGGCACAAACAGGTATAGGAAAAAGCCTGCATGGTTAACAAACAGAGTAATGGAGGCTGTAAAAAGTAAAAAGAATTCCTTTAAGCAGTGGAAAGCTAGTCACAGTGAGGCTGATAAAACGGAACACAGGCTATGGCAAATAAAATGCAAGTCTGAGGTCAGGCAGGCAAAAAGGGAATATGAGGAGCATATAGCAAAAAACGTAAAAACCAACAATAAAACTTTCTTCAAATACATTAGAAACAGGAAACCAGCCAGGGAGGCAGTGGGGCCCTTGGACGACCAAGGGGTAAAAGGAGTATTGAAGGATGATAGGGAAATGGCTGAGAAGCTAAATGCATTTTTTGCCTCCGTCTTCACTGTGGAAGATGAGAAGTGCTTGCCCACTCCAGAACCACTGATTTCAGGAGGGGTGTTGGAAGACCTGAGTCAGATTGAGGTGATGAGAGAGGAGGTCCTAAAACTGATAGACAACTTAAAAACTGATAAATCACCAGGCCCAGATGGCATACATCCGAGAGTTCTGAAAGAACTCAAATGTGAACTTGTAGATCTCCTGACAAAGATATGTAATCTTTCCTTAAAATCTGCCTCCATTCCTGAGGATTGGAAGGTAGCTAATGTCACTCCCATCTTTAAAAAGGGTTCCAGAGGAGATCCGGGAAATTACAGGCCAGTCAGTCTGACGTCGATACCGGGTAAATTGGTGGAAACCATTATTAAGGAAAGAATTAGTAGGCACATAGATGAACAAAACCTATTGAGGCAGACTCAACATGGGTTCTGTAAGGGAAGATCTTGTCTCACTAACCTGTTAGTGTTCTTTGAGGGGGTGAACAAACATGTGGACAAGGGGGATCCAATAGATATTATTTACCTTGACTTCCAGAAAGCTTTTGATAAAGTTCCTCATCAAAGGCTCCTAAGTAAGCTCAAAAATCATGGGATAGAAGGACAAGTCCTTTTATGGATCAAAAACTGGCTAGTTCATAGAAAACAGAGAGTGAGTGTAGGTGGGCAATTTTCTCAGTGGAGGGTGGTAAGCAGTGGGGTACCGCAGGGATCAGTACTTGGTCCACTGCTTTTTAACTTGTTCATTAATGATTTGGAGATGGGAGTAAGCAGTGAAGTGGCTAAATTTGCGGATGATACAAAGTTGTTCGGGGTGGTGAAAACCAGTGAGGATTGTGAGGCACTCCAAAGGGATCTGTCAATTTTGGGCGAGTGGGCGTCAACATGGCAAATGGGGTTCAATGTGGCCAAGTGCAAGGTGATGCACATTGGAGCCAAAAATCCTAACTATAAATACACGTTGATGGGGTCTGAACTGGCAGAGACTGATCAAGAGAGAGATCTTGGAGTTGTAGTAGATAACTCACTGAAGATGTCGAGACAGTGTGTGACTGCAATAAAGAAGGCCAATGCTATGCTGGGGATTATTAGGAAGGGTATTGTAAACAGATCAGCCAATATCATAATGCCGCTATATAAATCAATGGTGCGACCTCATTTGGAATACTGTGTGCAGTTCTGGTCACCACACCTTAAAAAGGATATTATAGCTTTGGAAAAAGTGCAGAAAAGGGCAACTCGAATGATAAAAGGGTTGGAACACTTTCCCTATGAGGAAAGGTTAGTGCTTAGGGCTCTTTAGCTTGGAGAAACGACGACTGAGGGGTGACATGATTGAGGTTTATAAGATTATGCATGGGATAGAGCAGGTAGAGAAAGAGGTACTTTTCTCCCTTTCTCACAATACAAGAACTCGTGGGCACTCCATGAAATTGCTGAGCGGTCGGGTTAGAACCGATAAAAGGAAGTACTTCTTCATCCAAAGAGTGATGAACACATGGAATTCACTGCCACAGGAGGTGGCGGCGGCTACAAGCATGGATGGCTTCAAGAGGGAATTAGATAGGCATATGGAGCAGAGGTTCATCAGTGGCTATTAGCCACAAGGTATAGGTAGGGGCTCTGGGGCAAGTGATGCTCTGTCTTCTTGGTGCTTGGGGGGGGGGGCAACAGTGGGAGGGCTTCTAATGTCCTGGCCCCACTGGTGGACCTCCTGATGGCACTGGTATTTCTGGCCACTGTGTGACACAGAGTGTTGGACTGGATGGGCCTTTGGCCTGATCCAACATTGGCGTCTCTTATGTTCTTATCTTCCTGACAGAAGAGAGGACCAGCCAATCAAAACTCTGAACCAAGAAGTGGCGGGAGGAATGGATCTCCGTGGCAGACCGATGGGCCAGTCTGATAATTAATGAAGGGTTGGGGGTGCCCTGCGGTCGGTCAACCACTGAAGTTATGTCCTCGTCCCGTCCTGCCCAGGCAGTTCAGATCTGCCCCTCAAGCCCTGCTCTTCCTCTGTGCCTCCACCAGTGAGGAGGGTGGTGAGTGGATGTCGAAGCAAGATACAGAAAAATAACACCTAAAGCTGTTGAATTCTTTATTGTACGATCATAGGTGAAGGTAAAGGTTCCCTTGCTCGAAAGCCAGTCGAATCCGACTCTAGGGTTGCGGTGCTCATCTCCGTTTCCAAGCCGAAGAGCCAGCGCTGTACGAAGACATTTCCGTGGTCATGTGGCTGGCGTGACTAAACACCAAGGTGCACGGAACGCTGTTACCTTCCCACCGAAGTGGTACCTATTTATCTACTTGCGATTTCTTGCTTTCGAACTGCTAGCGACACACCCCTAATGTAGCCAATCCTCCAAGAGCTTACAGTAGCTCCTGTAAGAAGAGCTCTGTAAGCTCTTGGAGGATTGGCTACATTAGGGGTGTGTGGCCTAATATGCAAAGGAGTTCCTGCTACAAAAAGAGCCCTGTTAATACTTCAGAGGTAGAAGGTATAACATTGAAAATTTGTGTGTGGCCCAAGGCATTGCTGTTTGGGAAAATGCCTTGGGAGGGGGTATAGGGGTATGAAAAGTCTACAGAAGGGGTCCCCAACGCGGTGCCCCTGGGCACCGTGGCACCAGATGACTCCTTTTCTGACACCCACCAAGTGTTTTAGAAAGTGGGTGGGGGCCAGGTGACGCTTTCGCCCAGCACACCTTCTGACTGACTCTGTAGATCTTGAAAAACATTGCTTTGGCGGTGGCAGCTGCCACCACTCTACAAGGATCTTCATTGTGTGAATGAAGTAGTTTTAAACAATATTTTCGTTGAAAAAGGCATCTTGTTTAAGCAGAGCTTCTCTGTCTGAAGTCCTGAAGTGTTACTCTTAGAGTTAAGCATAACCTCACTCCCGGACATTCTCTGGTCAGCTCCGCCTCCTGCAGTAGCCATTTTGTGCTTGTGCCCGCCACCCTGTGTCAGAATTCCAAAGAAGAGGAGGAGAAGGAAGGTGATTGGATTTATACCCTGCCCTTCACTCAGAGTCTCAGAGCGGCTTACAAACTCCTTTCCCTTCCCCTCCCCACAACAGGCACCCTGTGTGGGAGGTGGGGCTGAGACAGCTCTTGAGAGGAACTACCCTTCCAAGGACAGCTCTGACAGAACTATGGCTTGCCCAAGGTCATCCAGCAGCTGCAAGTGGGGGCGTGGGGAATCAAACCCGGTTCTCCCAGATTAGAGTCCGCACACGTAACCACAACACCAAACTGGTGTCGGCTCAGAAAGATTGGGCAATCCCAGTCTACATTAAGACAGTCTCTGTTCAATGGAAGGACAGCAGCGGTGGAGATCAGGGGTAAATATAGTGTGTGTGTGTGTGTGTGTGTGTGTGTGTTTATATATATAAAAATAAAAGAACAATTTTTGGCTATCGGTTTGACCATATCAAACAGCATCCTATACAGAAACTTATTCAAAGGTATACATTAAAACCAGCGTGATATGTGTCAGATTATATAGCAGCCAGAAGTAAAGTTACACATTTAAACAAAAAACAAAACAAAACTTGAAGCAGAGGAAGATGGTCACTTCTCTGTCTGATGCTGGTACTGGCGCAAAGGAGGAAGAGCATGCCTCCTCAGGAAGTCTTTTAGAAGAAAGAAGCATTTGCATCCTGCAAAAAGAACCAAAGACACAAAGTTCTGAGCTTGTTTCTCATACCATCAAGGTATGCATCCTAACTTTTGGCTAGTGACTATTTGTTTGTCTACTACAAGGAGCTGCGGTGGCTCAAGTGGTTCAGACGCTGAACTGCAGGCTGTGGAAGGTCAGTAGTTCAGCAGTTCGAGACCCGGGTGCCGCATGATGGAGTGAGTTCCCGTCTCTAGTTCCAGCTCCTGCCAACTTAGTAGTTCGAAAGCAAGAACTTGCAAGTAGATAAATAGGTACCACTTCGGTGGGAAGGTAACAGCGTTCCATGCACCTTGGTGTTTAGTCATGCCAGCCACATGACCACGGAAACGTCTTCGGACAGCGCTGGCTCTTCGGCTTTGAAACGGAGATGAGCACCGCAACCCTAAAGTCGGATTCGACTGGCTTTCGAGCAAGGGAACCTTTACCTTTACTACAAGTTAGTAGTACTCTAGAACTCTTATCAGGTGGGCAGGGAGGATTCTCGCAAACTAAATCATAGTTAGTGGGGGGTTGGCACCACCCTATGAGAAGAAGACCCTCTTTATTCAGCGCCTGGAATCTACATAGATAGAAATGGCTCTGATATTCAGAGGATTAGTGCCTCTGAATGTGGAGGTTCCCCTCAGTCACCACAGCTAGTAGCCATTGATGATGAAGAAGATATTGGATTTGTACCCCGCCTTTCACTTGGAGTTTCAGAGTAGCTTACAATCTCCTTCCCTTCCTCTTCCCACAACAGACACCATGTGAAGTAGGTGGGGGTGAGAGAGCTCTTTTGAGAATTGCTCTTGAGAGAACAGCTCTGAGCGAACTGTGACTGACCCAAGGTCACCCAGCTGGCTGCATGTATAGTACTGAGGATTCAAACCCGGTTCTCCAGATTAGACTCTGCTGCTCTTAACCACTACTGGCTCTAGACTTGTTCTTCATGAATCTATCTATCTAATCCCCCTTTAAAGCTGTTTATTCGTGTGGCCATCACAACATCCTCTGACAGCGAAATCCACATTTTAATCACTCTCTGAAGAGTGAGGTATAAATAAATGCAAAAATGCGAACAAGGCCAAATGCCAGCAATAGGTTTGGCAGTTAATTTAATTTACAGATTGCTTTGTCTGACATTACGCTCCAGGTTTATTGCACTATAGTCAGGTCAATAACTGAACATACCACTCCACTCTTGAAATTCTGGATTTGCTTTGGTCCCAAGAGGTTCAACAGCCACCAGGCCCAGGTGGGTGTGTACTGCCAGAGGTAATAGGCTGCCAGGTACGGTTGGTCACTAATCCAGGCTTCTTTCAGGTTGTTGACCAGGCTCACCAGTGTCAGTCGGACACAGCGTTCGGTTGTCATTTTACGAAACTGATCTCCGAAAGTGATGTGCTTCTGGGGGGGGGGGGGGGAGAGAAGAAGCTGCAGTAAACAATTTCTGTGCTCCCCACTTTCAGCAAGACCATCATAGTTTTGTGCACATTTCAAAAATTGTCCTCTGACCCCCAGAGATATCATAAGCCAGCTGTGAGGAACCCTTCTCAGGTAAAGGGAACCTCAGGAGCCCAAACCTTTCCTGACAGGTATGAAAGAATGGCACCAATAGCAGGGTTTAAAAATGAAATAAGAAGAACGATTTATTTGACTGAAAGGCAGGGGAATGGGGAACAGTTTTATGGGAACAAACAGTTGGCAACCAACAAGTGCCCGCTACAAACACTATAAACAATGTTTAGGCTTTCCCAAATTCAGGAAGAACTAATAAAAATTACAAACCCTATCAGAAGGTTCCTTACAATAAGCAGGCAGTTGTGATACTAGTGAATTTAT